TCAGCGGAGAGAGGAGCAGAGAGCAGGAGGAGAAGAACGACAAGTGGCACAGGATTGAGAGGAGCAGCGGCAAGTTTTCGAGGAGGTTCAGGTTGCCGGAGAATGCGAAAATTGATCAGGTCAAGGCTAGCATGGAGAATGGGGTTCTCACCGTGATTGTGCCCAAGGAGGAGGAGAAGCAGCCCCAGGTCAAGGCCATTGACATCTCTGGCTAAACAAAATCCTCAACCTCAATCAACTCAACTCCACCTCCCCTTTGAGCTAAATCGTAATTATGTTAAATAACCATGGTTTGTTTGGTTAATCTCTTGTGTTTTGTTTCTTGTATTTTAAGTTTCTGTGTCTGTCTGTGGGTGAGAGTTGAGTGACAGTGTGCTGATTTTCATGTACGGTTTCTTGTTCTGAAATATAATAAATTTTATTTTTTTGTTTGATAAATTATTGCTTAGTTTTGGATTAAAACGAGTCCATTACATAGCAGGACGGTCCAAAATACCCAATTTCAGCTACATTTATTTAGTGACGGCTGGACCATAATACCATACAGAAAAGCTTAATTAATTACTTAATTAAATTAAATTAAATTAAATTAACCAGAAATCTCAATGAACTCTCGCGTTTAGGGATGGTTTAGGGATGGTTTAGGGATGGCAACAGGCAAGTTTAGGGCCGGGTATGTGTCAGGATCCTTGACAAGTGGGCCCATTGAGATCAGTCCATAAGTGAATTGGATTCTATCCATCCCAGGCCATTCTTATCTTAGCCAATCCTTCTCTTAAGATTTGATGACGTATTTATACCTTATTGGAGGTTAAAAAAAGGCATGAATGAAAAATTGTTTATTGTAATTTATCTTTTATTGCTTTATTTTCTTCCCCGAGTTTTGTATCAGTATGACAATACCATTCCCCTCTTCTATCTCCGGTAAAAAAAATCCCCTATTTTTATTAATAAATATTTGATAAATTTTTTGATAATTTAAGCAATGTAGTTTGATTCTATCCAAATTAAGAGACACATACAAATTTCCATTTATAATTTCGTCCAAAATACACTTCCATATAAGAGACATGTTATTTTTTTCATCAAGAAATTGAACATAAAGAACTGAAAGGGGTAATCGAAAATAATCGATTAAACTTCAACCTAATATAATAAACACGCCTAGAAAATTAATGGTAAGTACTGAGTGAAGAACCTGCATTGCCACACTTCTCTAAGAGTGCACGTAGGTACTTAAGACAATCAGTATTCTTAAGTTGAGTAAAAGCAGCAGCTGTGGTCGATGGCGAATTAAACAAGGACCCGTTCTTCTTTTGGTACTTCATGACCAACTCCCAATCCTGTGAGCCAAGTCCTTCTGAAATATATGCTAAGAACGTTCTCCACCCCTCTGAGTTGCTTCCATAGCCTCTAAAATATTTCGAACAGAGATTTTTCACTTCACAATTTCAGTGAATTCCATTTGTTGTAACGAGCATATGAACTATACTCTACTGTTGTATATATCTGTTCCTCTAAAGAAAACAAGACATACCTTTTAAGCTCAAAGTCTCTTCTGTGAAATAAAGCATCTAGGGTTGGTGCTCCTAGGGGAAGATACATACCGAAATTCTTCGTAAGAACATCAGCTAACTGATACTTTGAACGGATGAAGGGGAAGGACACAATCTCCGCATCCAACTTTTCTTTAATGAAATTTCGATCAACCTCCACATGTTTTGTACGGTCATGTTGTACAGGATTATGAGCAATTGCAATCGCAGCCGTATTGTCACAATATAAATCCATGGGTTTATTAGGCCCAAAACCAAGGTCTTTCAACAATCTCCTCAACCATAGTAACTCATATACACCATGGGCCATTCCCCGATACTCGGCCTCAGCACTAGATCTAGACACCACCTTTTGTTTCTTGCTCCTCCACGTAACAAGATTGTCACCCACAAACATAAAATACCCAGATGTCGAACGCCTATCTGTGGCTGAACTTGCCCAATCAACATCTGTATACCCTTCTATATTCGTATGGCCATACTTGGAGAAAACCCCTTGCCAGGAGTTACTTTCAGATACCTTAAAATACGAGTCACAGCCCCCATATGATCCACACTAGGAGAGTGCATAAACTGACTCACTATATTTACAGCATACGCAATGTCCGGACGGGTATGAGCTAAATAAATCAATTTCCCCACAAGTCGTTGATAACGTTCTTTATCAGTCGGAACTTGATCGGGATATATCCCCAACTTATGATTCTGCTCACTAGGGGTATCAATCGGTTTACAATCCAACATTCCAGTTTCTGCAAGCAAATCCAAAACATACTTTCTTTACTTCAATCCCAAGAAAATACTTTAAATCACCCAATGATTTCATCTCGAACTCAGAAGCCAGATACTTCTGAAGACTCTGTATCTCCACATGATCATCTCCAGTCACAATCATATCATCAACATAAACAATTAAAGCCGTCAATTTACCTTTATGACGCTTCAGAAACAAAGTATGATCAGAGTTACTTTGCACATACTCAAACTTCTTCATGGATGCAGCAAATCTTCCAAACCACGCTCTTGGAGACTGCTTTAATCCATACAAGGATTTCCGTAGCTTGCACACCACACCCTCCTTAGAAGTCACAGGGATACCTGGCGGAGGATATATATTTCTTCCTTGAGATCACCATGGAGGAATGCATTTTTGACATCAAATTGTA